GTGTTTTGATCATCACTAAATAAATTGTTTGAATTATTTCTGGAAATCATGAATGCTTAATTAATCTGTTTATGGAACTATAATTCTTCTGAAATAACCCTTATCTGTATTTCTTTCAAGTAGGGAGAGGCATTGAATTAACTACTAAATAACTAAATATTTATTTTGAAAGCGTGCTTGTTAGTTAATCATGGATTTTGGCATTAATCCATTGTCAATGTGTCGCAACAAAGGGTCTTTGAGCAGTACATTTTCTTTTCAAGTTATCAAAAATACCTATGCTAATTGACTTGGCTTTTCCTGTTACGCATTTACTAGTTGTCTACAACCAATATACTAAAGACCAAAACTCTTCATTGTTTCTTTGTTCTACATTTTGCAGGTTGACTCTAAAAATAGACCTGTAACGGGTGTCCGATTATATTTGGAAGGCAAGAAAAGTGACCAACTCGCGATCCATCTCCTACATCTTTCAGAACTTCCTGGTATCCTTTCAATCTCAGATGATCATGAGCATGAACCTATTGATACAACAGTTGCAAAAGGCTACTATGAGGCTGTGAAGTGCCGTATGTTCTCCCATGTGTGCACAGCACCAGTGCAGTACAACACCTCCCATATAGATGAGTCCGCAGCTATTGTAACAAAGGCCTGGTTGGAGGTCAAGTCAATGGGAATGAAGAAAGTTCTTTTCTTGAATCTTGGATTCTCAGCGGTTGCTTCAGCTACAATCCGACGATCAGAATGGGATGGGACATTAACTGGAACTAAAAAGTCAGGGTTTTTCTCAGCATTGATGAGCACCACCAGGCTTAGCAAGGAATTGGCTTCTCCTGTAAAGCCAGAAAAAGTGGATATAAATTCAGCAGTTTATCAAGGTGGCCCTCCTGTGCCAACTAGAGCTCAGAAAATGCTGAGCCTCGTGGACACAAATGAAACGGTTCGTGGTCCGGAGGATTTGCCGGGATATTGGGTGGTTACCGGAGCAAAGCTTTGTGTAAATGATGGCAGAATCTCGATCAAGGCGAAGTATTCATTGTTGACTATCATATCAAATGATTTACTGTGATATGAATGTCAAGAGAAGGAATAAGGTGCAGTTCTTTATATGTTGTAAATACAATTAGTTTTATCATTTGTTCAATGTCAGATTCCATGTATATCTCATCTGGCACAAAGCGCATTGGATGAGAGGATTTTAGATAGAGATACGAGCCGGGGGAGCCTATGATTCCGAGGAGCTTCGTTGGCAATTGGATTTTGGGACGAGATATGGAAGTAAATTAGAGTGGATTTCACATGTTGGCATTAATCTCATGAGTCATGCCATTAATGTCTTGTGAATAGTAGAGCTTTCTACAACTTTCATAACATGGTTCTTCCTTTAATGCTTGCCTTCCTGTTAAGTTGTATCTTATGTATGTTTTTGTGAGCCATTCATACATGTATTCCTAACAAAGACAACAGTCTATGGAATTGGATTAAAGAAATGCTATGAATTTGCCAGGTATGTCGGAACAGCTGTTATATGAAAAATGAATTATATATCAGTATTCTGAAAAAAAGTTCCATTTTTTGCCAAAAAAATAACAAAAGACCCATTAACATAAATTATTAGATATCTGTGCCTCTTTGACCAAAAAAGCAGAAAGAGAAAAGGCATTTGTGCATGAATTAATAGTTCATAATCCTGTTGCCCGCAAACAGATGTGGATCCCTTTGCATATTTTGTAAGAGCTGGTAAGTGAAAGTAGACTTTGAGTTGCTAACTTGCTATAACATTCAATCTAGGTTTACTTTGTTCACATCCAAGTCCTCCAAAACAAACAAGAAGTAATCAAATAAAATTTAAACAAAACACAACATAACTTGAACCCACAAAAAAACTCCTACGCGTACGGATTCCTGTATTCTTAAAGTGGTTACAAAATTAGGGAATTTACATGAAAAGCATTAACTGCACAAACTTTGCAATTCCGTCCTTGTTTAGAAGAAAAGTACTGCTAAGTTCTAATCACATCACGTCACCAACAAATCCAAATTCAAGTAAAACTTGGATGCAATCAGGCCCTACAGACAATGAAAAACTATGACAATGGGGTCCAGACTTATGGGGTGGGAGGTACAAGAATGTACAAGGAAGGAGATGGAACAGGAAAAAGGGCCAATGAAGATGAGTGGTGAATAAGGGATTATTTATGTAAAAGATGGTCATGTGGGTCAACCCGTAAGTTGCCGGTTGGCACATGATAGGTTGTGCCTATACAATGTAGGCCAAAAAGATTCGTTCTCATGCAAATTTGCTAAACTTTGATAGGCTGGTGAGTTGACCTGTCAACAATTATTTATTTAATTTTTTTAAAAAATTATTTTTTAATATTCTATACAATATATTAAAAAAATACAATAAAATGATTGTTTTTCCTTCAAAAGATTGAAAGCACCAAATAAATAATATAGGTATTTTTTTAATTTTTTGGATAGGATATAACCTATAATAATAAAATGTAATAATTAAAAAAATTAATGGGGGTTAAGCCACCACTTTTGGCAGATTAGACCGGTGGATCCAACCTATATTTTCAGTTCATGTGGTTAGGAAATGTTTAAAAGAGATTGACCCAAATATTGTGATGAAGGGAACGGGAAGAAATGCCAACGGGTTTTTTTTTTTTCGGTTTTTTTTGGGGGGGGGGGGTGTGCTTTGATGCGCTTAGATTGGAGGAACCTTATTTTTTTGCTGTTTCTATGAATAGAAACATTCCGATTTTTGGAAGGAGGTGGAGAAAGGGTTGAAGATAATGATTAGAACAAGAAATGAATAAATATTATCTAAGATATTTCTATTTTTCATACATATTCTGAAAATTATATTAACTTAATTAAAACTGACCCGGCCACGATTTTATCATAGAATCTTGAACTAGTGTCTTGATGGGTAATTCCACAGTATTTGTTCCCTTATTTTTTTCCGCACTCTGTGAAATCTACATACCAGTAATTCCACAATATTTGTTCCGGTAAAAGAACTGGAAAGTCAATGGTCTTTGTAGTTCTTCGATCCTCAAAGTAGTCCCGACCGGCTGCGTGCAGGCTCAAAAATTTTCCTGCCATGTGTATCACTGAGACAAAGGATTTGGGCTAACGTTCCTATGAATGACTCTTTCATTTCTATGCCCAGAATATAATAGCACAAGGAAATTGATCGAAAAATACTTGTTAAATTTCAAAAATGATAAATAGACGATTTTAGCAGATTTTGACTTGTCAAAATTAGTTCAAGAGTCGTCAAAATTATTACAAGAATTTGTCAACATGATCTAATTATCTTTTTGAAATTTAACAGATATTGTTATTTCATTTTTCCTATCCTAATTGTACCTTTATCGACCTGTTTGAGGATATCCTTCACCCAAAGAAATATAATACCATGTAACAAAGGAGATAAGAGGCTTCCGAAAATTAAAAAATGTAATTAAATCTATATTAATCAATAAATTCCCACAATTATCTTTTGACACAAATCCAATTAGCATGCTTTGGCGCTATTCAAGTACTTAAAAGCTTAAAATTAAACATAGAAAACTATCTATGTTCAGAGATATATCAATCCTTCAACCAAGAAACTTGTTGCTAATTGACATTCAATTCTTATCCCTATCTCAGAACCAACTCGATATGTCTATCACGAAGGAGAAAAATTGTTCAACATACACTTAAGTTCGTTCATAGTTTTGTGTGATTGGGTCACAATAAATTGCATCAATGGGTTATCTTGAAATGCACTCTCCTATAGCTATGCCTCGTTAAGTTCTCTAAACCAACTTCTTCAAGCCTCCCAACGAATGAGTTTCACTTTCTGCCACCTCTTTTTATTGTTGATGCTTCTTCAAAGTTCAAAATGCTAGCATAAAATAAAAAAATAGAACAAAAAAAAAAAAAGAAAGAAAGTATTCCTTCTACTTTCTCTGGAAGAATGAGATGTTTTAGGACTTGTCCAATGTGCAAAATGGTATGGAATGAAAAAAAAAATGCTGTAATTGGATGACTTGTGTCGTGGGGAAGAACTCGCTCAGGTCATAAAAATGTTATTTTGGATATTTGGATTTTAAGGTGTAGCGGTGCATATCCCATCTCTGTCTAAGATTATTGATTAAAAAGTTAAAAGCGTAAAACCAACGAGGGTACTTACTGTGCTCAGACATAGTTCTCTTTAATAAAAGAATACGTGTGCATGACATTAAAAAAACGATTCAAAGCAAGGATATGAGTTGAAGTTAAGAGCTTTAACTAAAATAGCATTCACTAAGAAAGAGGCAATTGAGACTACTAAATTTATTTTGACCCTCGATATAAGATTTTCGAGCACATGATTAAGAAGCACATTCTTTAAAAACTAAAACACGTTCATTATAAATAACTAATTTAATAAATTCTCTTAATTTTACAAAATAATTATTTAATTCTTATCCTAAAGACGAGAGACAATATGTGAGGTTGTGAAATGGGTCCAAATTTATACTGGATACTGCTACAAAGGAGCCTGAATTTAACCTATTTCAAGAATAAAATCATTAGCCAATAACCTTATGACCTCCTCCGCATGGAAATTCATATGCAAGTGAATGTGGTGGATTTGATATCATTTGCACTTGTCACTTGTTTGATTTGAATAAATTTGGGTGACATTGAATCTTCCAAGTCAAAGTGGGGCAGGGCAGAATACTGGCTGTCCAGCCCCACCCCAAAAAAAAAAAAAAGTTCCTAAACTTGTTATGCGTAAACACAAAGAAACTCTTGAAACCGTTGTTTCATGGAGAATGACTTCCTTCTAAAGATAGATTGGCCTACAAGGGAGAAAAGAACAACAGATAATCCAATTTCCCCAGTTTATAATTAATACTAATGATTGAGTGATGATTGAAAAATTACGTTTCCTGTCCTTTCCTGGAATTTCCTGAATGAGCAAGGAACACGGCAAATCGTAATCTATATCCAAATAATAAAAAAATTCCAGTTTGGTATATAGTCCAATCCTTCAATTGCAAAGCCGCGTGAAATCTAAAATAAAACGAATCTATTAATTACAGGAGTTTACTTGCCTTACTGCCGTTCATCGTCGTATTTACAAATTTACACAGTAAGATATTCACAGAAATCTTGAAGCTCCATGCAAGCAACAACAACGACTAACAACAGAGTCTCAGATCTGAATGACTTTTGCGTGCAGATTCAATTTATTTTCTGCTTTCTTATTTTCTTCAAGAAGAGATAAATCACCCGACGAAACCCAAGAAACTGTGAGAAAACATGATTCAACGCTCAGAAACCAAATAGATCGAAAGAAAAATCACGCGAAAACTAAATAAATTGAAAGAGGAACCGCAGAAACGAGGAGAGAAATCGATCTGAAAGAAACTATTGTGAATCAATCGGTTTTTAATGAACGAGTAGTAGGTAAATTTGGAGATTAAAAGTCAATCCAATCGAAGAGGGAAAAAAAAGAGGTGATCAGATGAAATCAGAAATAGGAACAGAGAGAATGAGATGAATGGTTGGACCTGAGAGATCGAAGACGAAGGGGACGGGAAAGAAAGTTGAAGAAGAAATTGGCGCCGTGAAGGAAGGCGACGATTCCAGTGCAACCCAATATGAAGAGCTCCACCATCCTGAAGGAAAATTTTCCGAAGTGATTCCGAAACTCGAAATTCTGCAAAACTGCTCTGCTTGCATTTATAGAGTGGCCCCATGGCAAATAGAGTCGGGTTCCAAGAAACGACACCGCAAAGGTAAATTACCTCATGAAAGTGTACTGTGGAAAAAGGACCACAAAGAAAATCTGGGACGTTCGTTGAAATTTTCCCATTATAAAAGATTAAAAGTTACAACCTTGGCTACAAAAACCAATTTTACATTTAATTTGTTTCTAAATATAATATTTTAATTTATTTTATTTTTTATATTTATTTTTTTAAGATAATTTTTATAATAGTTACACATGTTAAAAGTTTTATGAAATAATAATTATAGTTAATACACTTGATTGGTCAAGATATTTTAGAAAAATTACACCTATTTATTATAAATAACCAGTTTAATTAATTTTTTTAATATACTTAAATTAGTTAACTAGCTTTTAGTTAATGATGGTACCTAAAAACCCAGATCATTGAGTAGGTATTATTTTTTTAAATTATCTTCATCTATTTGCTTGTATTTTCTTTTGGATGGCACATAATTAAAAATAAATTGAACATATATGAAGAAAAGTTGTTATGGTAAAGATAAGTTGTACCTGTTGAACAAATTTCAAGTATTTTAGACAGTAAATTGCAATGGGACATTTATCAACAATTTTTTTAAATAAAATGGTTTTAGATAAGGAACTGAATAGTATAACTCTGAGTTTTTATATTCAACTAACTTAGTTTAACTTTATTAGCATAATTTTCCCTGCCAATGGTCGACTTAACCATTTCATTATCCTGTTTTAATTTTAACAAAAACAATGTGTTTTAAAAATTAAAAAAAAAGCTGTGCGATTATAAATATTCTATCTTCCAATAAATTTTATCCTGTTATGTATTAACATGACGAATGCATTTTTAATTAGATACTAATAGGCACAATATATCATCCAATTTTTTTACATATTTATTTTATTGAGATTATATGATATTTGCATTAATTCATTCCTATATATATATATATATATATATATATATATATATAACAACGGTACATGTTTCCATATATTATAGGGAGGCTAAGAAAGTCAAATTGTTCATAATTTAAATAATGAAACTTTTTATGATTTTATATTTTATATTAGTGATAGATATAATTATGCTTAACACAACTCATCTTCACCCAACCCAACCTTAATGATGCTACGCATTGTTTTATTGCATATGAGATTTTCTTTTTTTTGTCTTTTTTTTTTGTATAATTCACAGTATCCCTAAATTATCATGGCTAAAATTTTGCTAGTTTTAATTTTATTTATTTATTTTTAAAACAATTTAACATTTTATTTATAATTTTATAAAATATGAAATTTGAACTGTTCAAATTGTAATCTTATCGTTGAAATGAAAAGTGAAGAGAAATGGAGGGACAAGGAAGTGGAGAGACCGCCCCCCTTCCCACTAGGTCTAAAGGTGGTGGCTACAAATAAAAGAAGAACCAACTTGAATCTGAGCTATGAGCTAATTTAGCCATCTCATCCACTACTCTAATCTCATTCATTCTAATATGGTATAGATACACCTACTAGTTCTTATGCATAAGTAATCTAATATCATCAATAATATCCTTAAAAGGAGTGGTTACTCTCACACCCTCGCAAAATCACATTCACAGCTCCAACAATACAATCATAATAAATACTCCTTCTGTCTTAAATATGAGACTTTTATACACACTAGTATAAGGGTTTTATATTTAGAACCGGAAGAGTAGCTATTTATCCAATTTTGGTCCATACAAGCTCTAAACAAGCTATTACAAGCATTTGCATGTTGAATTGTATAAATCTTTGTAACAATATTCATAAATCACAAATATTAAGCTCCTTCCCCTTCTCAAACTCGCCGTAAAGTATAAAGCACAATGTCTAATTACGGAAAGGATTTATGATTATACGACGGACTGAAAAAATAATTGAGCATATTTTCGTCACACACACACACATATATATTAAATCATATTGAATCATACCCATAATGCAATGCAAAGAACAAATATTTTATTGATTAAGAAATTCCGTAACAGAGTTTTATTCCTTTTTTAAAAAAACACACTTGTTTCCTCACTGCATAAAAATCTAAATAAATATTATATAATAGAGAATATTGCTGGCAGCGTGTTGCGTGCATTTACATGGGAAAGGGAATCAGCATCAGCAAATTTGGGTCTCTTGGCGGCGGTGACAGCTCATGGCTTCATCGTTTTCTTCTGGACATTATTCCATTGTTATTCATTTAGTTTTGGCCAATGGATTAAAGTATTCAGTGAAACATAATTATTAGGGATAAAGTGTTTAAATATTCTGAAAATATCCATGAAAGAGCACCCAATACTAGAAAGTTTTTTTTAGCTCTTATATGCTCTAATAGTTTATTTTCACAATAAAAATATATTGACTATTATCTCCTGTTAAATTTAACCGTTAAATAATCAATTGTGTTTAATATCCACGGCACAGAACAAAGTGTTTAATATCAGTTTGGGGAAACACGTACTTTGGGTGCAATTAATAAAAGAAATAATGTAATGAAATAATCTTTTTGAAAAGTTGGATCAAACGAAAAGAACTAATTCCTCACAATATGGTGAACTAATATTTGAAATCTCGTCAAGAGAGATACCTATATTTAATACCTAATAATATCTTAAATAGAATTATCTATAATAGAAAGATATCTATGTGGGGGGAAAAAACTCCGCAAACACAAACACCAGAAGAGATAGTAACAGGCAAGCAAATAACAGAGAAATCATAAATGTGGAAAATTGCACTACTTCAATTTTTTTTTTTTTGACCAGCTGCACTACAATTAAAATCATAGTCACAGATATATTTACACGAATATATTTGATTAAAATACAAAAGGGAACACAGTTTCAGATGGAAGGGCCATAATTCATGAAGAAAAAGGGCGGCAGGAGAGGGAAAGCGACTTCTTTCACGCCCCAATCATGCTCCAATTATGGACCTTAGCTCCTTCCAATGGGATCATAACTAGGCCCAATCGTTGTTTCTTCTTTCTCCTCATTAACGCAAAGCCCATTTATCACAGTAGAGTGAATGCGCTTTGCCGGATTGTGGGGACAAAAAAAGTAATGACCCCTGTGGCGTCCGTGTCCTTGCAGTGTACGTTTTTAATACTACCTCCGATTCTTAATATAAAACCTAATTTAATTTTAATTTTGATTCTAATTATAAGATTCTAATTCACATTGTTTCTCATATTTATTTATTTATTTTTCAAGGTGACTTGTAATAATAGTAGTTCTAGCCAATACATTTAATTAGTAAGGATATTTTAAAAAAACAACACTTATTTATGAAAAATAACCAACTTAAATTATTTTCTTAATCTCCTCAAATTAGTCAACTAATTAGGACCGGAGGTAGTATTTAATAATATTTCGAATAAGTTTGTATTCAGTAAAGTTTTGGAAAATGGGATTTCATAAGTATATACATTCAATATTTAAGTTGTAATTTCCATCACCTTAATTTTACCCACTTTCTCCACTTCCTCATTTTTTAAATTAAATTTCATGTTCTTTGAGTTATCTTAATTCAGTGTGCATATCTCACTTACCTATTTAATATCTTCAAAAATAGTGGCATAAATATCCAACATGATGTATATTAACTCCCGTAGGAGCCGTTTGGTTCAATTCTTATATGCCTAGAGATGGTAATGCAATGGAATATAATGCAATGTTTATTACCATCCATATGTTTGGTATGTCATTAAGAAGCTGAGCAAAAAAATTACCTTTTATATTTAATCAAATAAAGTTAATGCTAAAAAGTCTATAATGCCTCTCAACCGGGGAAAAAAAAAACTCCTTTCCCGATCCTTCCTTCCTAGATTCATTATCTTCTTTTCCAACAAAAATTTGAAGCCCGAGTACAGATTCACAGTCTTCTTCCTCGAGCAAACCCAAACAAAATAAAAAAATAAAAAATTGTTGGAGGCAGTTCATAGTGGTCTCCACCATTTCTATGGCTATCTCCGATTAGAGGCAGTTCATGATCATCAAACTTCTTCAGCTTTATGACAACAAACACTCCAATCAGTGTTATTTGGCGCTCCATATTGGGACATCATCCCTTTCCCTTTCTGCTGGAAAAAACAGTATCACATAGCTATTCTTTTTCAGATCTGAACAATACAATCGGAATATTACAATATTTTGGGTGGTGAACGTGGGACTGAAATGATGGTTATTGTGGGTATTGGGTGTGGCGGTGCTCACGGTGGTAAGTTCATCAACAGTGCCAAGGGGTGGATGATAAAGAAAAGGTTGAAGAAGGTAATAAAGATTGGAGGGCACAAGAGACTTTTTGAAGTATGCAATGAGATGGTAATAATGATTCATAAGGGGGGGAGGTATGAATGAAGATTACCAAATTTTTGGTAATCATTATTACCATGGTAAAGATTATTACCATGGTAAAGAGTAACCAAACATTCATATCTTGGTAATGTAATTACAATTACCATTGCAGGTCTACAATGAGATTGAACCAAACGGGCTCGTAGGATTTCCCACCGGAACTTGTTTCGGAACGATGGAAGGATCATTGGGTCATGGCTTTCTCGACTCTACTGTACGCAGTTTTTAATTTTAATATCACTAGATTTTTAAGAATTAACGTTTTAATACGGATTAAATTTTAAGAACTAAAAATTATATTAACTTTTATTTTGACCTTTCTTCTATAGATACATATGTTCCCATGGTCTCCGCCAACCATGCTTGGAAGGTGAAGTGATGGACTTCGATTACTTTTTCATCTCTTCAATTTTCATTTTCTGTGTTATGGATTCCGTTTTATCTCTTTGATTTCGATTCTCTTGGTGTTTTAGATTTCGATTTGTAAATGATGATTGAGTAGTAATTTCTCTCCTCGTTTATGTGATATTTCTCTATCGGTATTT